TTCTATTCAGAGTTCCAGCTCTTTAAATGGCCAATTATGAAGTGGATTATTTTATATTTGTAGTATCTAGGAGGATTTTTTTTCCCCAAGTGGCTTACAGTTTTCTATTGAAACTTTGACTTTCCCTAGGAAAGATAGCACTTTTATTCTCTAAAAAACAATAAAAGAAGGCACTAAATAATTTTCTATTCAATAAATTAATGAAATTAGACTCCCTAAACTCTGCTTCACTCTAAAAACACACACACACACACACACACACACACACACACACACTTTTACTTGTATTAGGTTGCCTTTCCCAAGGACCACAGGTGTCTTATGGCCCTTTCTGAATTTGCTGTTATTTTCACTGGTTCCTTAGTGTGATTAGACTCCTCTTTTCCTCTTCTCTGAACTCACTCAATATCTGTCCACTATTCTTCAACCTCTGTTGTTATTTTCTAGATGTGTGAGACATTTTTGACATTGTTAACTCCTCTACTCTTTGCTTTAACCAAGTGATTAGGGGAAAAAAAGATGCTTTCATTTGTTAGAAAGAGAGACAGGCTGCCAGTCATAAGGCAATTACTGCTAATTACAGCTGCAGACTCTTGTACACAGACAGATACCAATCCCCATGACACCAAGCCTTTGTCACTAGACATTTACCCTTATCTTAACTATGTAAGACATACTTACTTAAGAGAAATGATACTTTAAGCTGACAAGAAACAAGTTTAAGAAGGTTTCTTTGAGAAGTCTGTAGTTAACTTGAAAATGAAGGGAGAATCCATTCCTTCACAATATATGGGCATTTTGCAGCCTTTACTTCCCAGAACCTCAGTTTAATCCTGGGAACCCAACTATGATTAGAAGGACTGGAATTTATGATGGAGACTGAGTGGAAAAGAGAATAGAGAGAGTGAGAAGAGACAGGCAGAGGGGAGAAGGAGAGAGAAAGATCAAGGAGAAGAGAACTAATTAAGTGACAGATTCCCTGCATTTCTCTATTTCTTCCCGACAATATTCCCCCCCCATCCCCCCCCCATCCCCGTTGTCTTGCTTGGGCATCAGCCACCTTGGAGGAATGGTAGTGTTCAGTGCTCTCTACTTACCCCACTGCTTTCCGGAAAGAAGTCAAATTAACGTAACACTCCCCTTTTTCTTTAATTTTACTCTTCACCAATTACCGGTAAGTATACTCACCTTATTTCAACACGGGGTGTGAGTGGGTATACCTAGGCTATCTCATCCTAAAATTATGGGTCTGCCTAGTCCACTTAGGCCAGCTACTCAATCAGATATATCCTGAAACTGACAGATTGTCCACTTCAGTGTAGTGATGTTGAGGGTGGAGCTGGAGGGATGAGAGCGTCCATACCACCTTTCTTCCCATTGCTGTGGCTGTAAGTGCTGTAGAGTCGGTTCCGACTCATAGCAACTCTGTATAGGGTTTCCAAGGAGCAGCTGGTGGGTTTGAACAGCTGACCTTGTGGTTCGTAGTCCAATGCTGATTCTACAGCGCTGCAACAGCAAAGTCCCATAGGAATGGAGAATTGAAGCGCGGAAAAAGAACACCCCTGTACCCGCGAGATCCCCAAGCGAAAATGTGTCGCAGTCCCTGTTGAAGGAATCAACTTTCACAGGCTGCAACAGACCTCAACTCCTTAGTATCAGATTCTGCACTGAAGGGGGGAGCCAGAGCCTCTAAGTGGCTTACTGCACTAACGAGGCTCCGGAGACGTGGTAACTCCACTTCACCACCGCCTGGACCTGAAAAACTCTCCGGAGCCTGCCTTGGTAATATTTTATTTTGAAGCGTCCTTCCCTCACCCCACGATCTTACGGTTTTCAGCTACTCTGGGATTCTCCAAGATCTTTCAGTACGCACCAGGCAAAGGGTGGAAGAAGAGGAAGAGCTTGAGTCCAATCGCGTAGGTTTTCTGTGTCCTTCCCACTTCTAACTCAGGTTATCTATGTCCTGGGACTCGTCTGGGTTCCAGCACCCCGCCGTCCTCCACAGTTAACCCATCCCTTTATCTATGTCCTGGGACCCAGCACCCCGCCCTCCTCTACCAGCTAACCCATCCCGGATACACCAAAGAGCATCCTTTCTGAATATTGCTCAGAAGGGATTTGGCAGTGTGGACGCCTCTGGAGAAAGCTGGCATCCCTTATCACCCTCGAGACAAATAGCTTTGCAGTAGCTTTGGGTTAGCGGTCAGCGAATTTCTCCGGACTAATTCGTCTATCTCCCAAGCCCGTTACCTCACCCCTGCCCATTCCCCCGCCTTTACAGAACTCACACTCCGGGGAAATCCGCGCGGGGTCAGCGCGCTCACTGGGTGGCCCCATTCTTGGTCAGAGGTTCTCCAAGGGCCAAGTAAAACAGAACAAGACTGTGCCCAATTTTTTTGGTAACCTTCCGTTTCGACCCCAAAACTAATTTTCCCTTCGGTCCCACAGGACGGGAGCTTTAGAAGGTGGAGGACCCGGCGGCTCTTTGAGAGGCGTTGCCACTCAGGAACGGCGTTCAGGTCCAGCTGGGCGCAGGCAGACCCGGGAGATAGCTGCGAGGCAGGCGGCGCCGGAGGGAGCGCCCAGCCCAGCAAAGAGTTAAAGGGAGGGGACGTGGGCTGTCACGCGTCATTGGGCAGATTATGTGCAGCAAACAAAAAGTGTGTGTCTGCGTGCCAGTCAGTCACTGCATCGGGTCCATCTGTACAACTCTCTCCGCTTCTCTCTCTCTCTCCATTTCTCCATCTCTCTCTCTCTTTACGCAGCACCCACAGGACAGCTACATCAACACCTCTTGACATGGAAATACACTGATACAATAAGCAAAAAGGGACATAGGATTGCTTCTCCCGGATACCAAGTGGACTTATTTGAACGATTTGATCCTGACCTTATTCTTGGTAAGTCTGTTTCCATTGACGAGGGAGGGGGATGGGAGGAAGGCAGGTTTGGTGGGGAGAGTGGAAATGTTGTACCACCATCTCCTCTTTTTCCAGCAGAGGTGAGTGGGGGTAATTGTTGAGGTGATCTGTACTACAAAATAAGATTATACAAAAGGAGGAGCAGGTGGGGATCACTTAGGTGGAGAAGCGACTAGGGAGCGCGCGGCCGCCAGACAATGCCAGCGTCGGGAGGGGAGGGAGATCCGCCGGCCGCAGCCACAAGCTTTCGGCGAGTCCAGCCGGCTTTGGTGAGGACCCCTCCCCCCAGGGGGTGCCTAGAGAGGGTGGCCAAGCTGTGAAGGGTTGAGTGGTGAGAGCGACTGCGCGCGGTAGGCGAACTCAGGTTCTCGCCACTGCTTTCGGCATCCCTAGAGGTTTTTGTGACCAGCGCCAGTATCGTGGCGGCTCTGGCCCAAGCAGCGCAGACCGCTATTAGCGCGGCGTAGCGGGGACCTTTTCTCCGTATTGTTAGGTAAAACTGCATTTTAATGACTGCGTCCCTGCTGTTGCCTGAAGTGACGGGGCGACCTCCTGGCACAATGAAACGCTTGTGTGAAAGAGACTTTAAAAGGAAGAGAGAAATCGAAGCATAAAACGCTGAATTGGAAGAAACTGAAAAGGGGAGAATAGTATTGATCTACTGAAAGGAAATGAGAGGTTCTTAAGTTTGGGGGGCTTTGTTTTAACTATATTTCATCTGCAATTGGATATGAGAAAGGCTGCCTTGTGTAAGGTAAACACGCCCAGCAATAGCATAATAAACTAAGTTCTTACTTTATGGGTATTTTCTTTTATTTCTTCGATCTGACAAGATACAGCCCAACACGACATCTGGGGGATGCATCACAGTTAATGGAAAGAGGTTGACCAAAAGTTTCAGTCTTTGATAGCAGGAAAGGAAAACAAGCAAATAAACAAAACCCCACTACCTTGTGATTTACATTTGCAAAATTAATAGGTTAATAAGCATTATGGTAAAAATGGGTGTTACTAATATTATTATTCCATAATGAACAACTCAGGGAGAAAAAATCCGGTCTATTCTTTCCTGCAATTTAAATGATACAAACCATACATAAACTACTATTGACAATGCTAACATAATTAGAGAAAAACTAGCTTGGGGGAATATTTTGACAAACCAGAAAAAGTGAACAATTCAGTTTTTTGCTTGTTTGTTTGATTGGTTGTCATTTGCTTGTTTGCTTTTTAAATAATAAGTCTCTTAGTCAGTGTCCAGTGGAAGAAACAGGGAAATGTTATGACAGCTTAATAGAGAGCCCTCCACTGGCGCATAACTTTCTAAATTGCTGTGGTTTAAACAGCTGGATAGTCCACTGTGAGCTATTCAAACGGGACTGCCCCCTTTTGCTCAGACAGAAGTATCTGGGGAAGCTAGAATTCTCCAGTCATTACACACATGATATTTCAAACAGGGAACACTTCAGGCCTGCATGTACCTGCTTACTTCATGAGCTACATGTGACTCAATCCACCTCCTTGTATAACAAGGTAACTGGGATTCACCCTCATCCATAAATAGCATGTCGAGAGAAAAAAAAATAATTACCTCTGCTTGCTGCTTTTAATTAAAGCCTCAGAGGGACAGTGCTGGATTATGATAATGAGAAGACATACATCCCCTATCGTCGTAGGCTGCAAAGAAAGGTTAGCTGACACGGAATCAGTGGCCCTGACACTCCACTTGAAATCCATTCGCCATGCTTGGCTCTCTCCGCCTGCTAGCTAATGCTGCTCCCCTCTTGGGGAGAAAAAAGTCAGCTCCTGGGCACCAACCAGTTCAATACAAAAGAGGAGAAGCAAGAAGAACTTCCCCTATGGGTTAGAAGTTTCTTTTGGAGATCCCTATTCCAAATCTAATAAAGCACTCAAAGTTGGCATCTTTATCCAATTTCATCTGCCACTTATTTTACTTTTTAAAACAAAAGCTAAACAAAAATCAGATGAGTTTTTCTAGTAGTTGTAATCTTCCTCCTGGATTTGTAGTGATAAAGGAGTACTGAAACTTGTTCATTGTCTGTGCATCTGTCTCCAGTGATGGAGGATTCGGGTATCCATAGAGGCATCTGGGATGGAGATGCCAAAGCTGTCCAACAATGTCTGACAGATATTTTTACCAGCGTTTATACCACCTGCGACATCCCTGAGAATGCTATATTTGGTCCCTGCGTGTTGAGCCACACTTCCTTGTACGACAGCATAGCTTTCATAGCCCTTAAGTCTACCGACAAGAGAACAGTTCCTTATATCTTCCGGGTAAGTTTTGACTAGTGCTGTGTAGGTTTATGAAAATAATGTTCAGCTGAATTTGGACCAAAAATCATTCTTATAACAAGCTGAGACAGATTCTGTGTGTAGGAAATGCAGTGATGTAAATGTTACAAACTCTAGAAATAAAAACTTAAATTATTGTCAGGTTTTTTTTGGGATAAATAACACTATTTGATTTGAAATGCACCAAATCAGTGCCTCAGTTATTGGCTTTCCAGGCCGGTATTCTAGATCTCATAGGGACTGAAACTATTGAATACAAGTACATCTGCAAGTATAAATACCAGATACTTTTGCTTTAGATAACTTCTTAAGGTAAAGGAAACTGGTATCCAGAGTTTGTATTTTAATTAAAATGTTAGATGAGTTTGACCTTCCAGTAGATTGAATTCAGAGGTTTAACTTTGAAGATAAAAGGCCTCTCACTTCCAGTTCTTTCTTTATATGGAAAAGGTATTAACTGTTCAAGTCAAAATTAGAATGTTAGTGCTACAGGCTAGTTTTTAAAATCTAATTTTGCTTCTTTTTTTTAATCTCCCAAGTAAGCCAAATTCCCCACACTTTTTCAATGTGGGGAAAATTTTGAAGTAAAATTTCAAAAGACCAATGCTAATTTAAATTTTAAGAATAAATGTCCTTATCCGGCGTTTAAACTGTATATAAAAACAATGACTTAAATAATCTATGTGGTTGAGCTACTACAGCGACTCAAAGGAAGGTTATCTTGACTTCTGGTTGCAGACATAAGGATTGATGCCAATTTGGGCCAAGTTTTTAGAAGTTTGATCTTGGAGTTTTTCTATGTCTTCATATGGCTCTCCCGCTTTCCTTTTCTTTTTCCTTTCCTCCCCTCCTTCTTTCTTTTCTTTTTTAAACTGTAGGTGGACACCTCAGCGGCAAATGCTTCCTCAGAAGGTCTCATGTGGCTGCGACTGGTTCAATCAGCCAGAGATAAAGAAGAACAGAACCTTGAAGCCTATATCAAAAACGGACAGCTATTTTATCGCTCCCTCCGCAGAATTGCCAAAGACGAAGAGTTACTTGTTTGGTACGGGAAAGAACTGACTGAGTTACTCTTGCTCTGCCCCTCTAGATCCCACAGCAAAATGAATGGTAGGTTGGCTCGCGTGTGGGCCCTTCCTTAGAAGGGGGAGACGCAGCGAGCAGCTGGGTTCACCATGGCGCTTTGGGCACGCCTTTCTTTACTGAATGTAGATGGGTGGTGGTGGTGCGCCATCAAGTAGGTTCCGACTTATAGTGACCCTGCTTAGGACTTCCTAGGCTGTAAATCTTTACAGGAGCAAAAAGCCTCATATTTCTCCTGCAAAGCGGCTGGTAGATTCGAACTGCTTACCTTGCGGTTAACAACCCAACGAATAACCTCCTATGGTTTCGACTAGCGACGCTGTATAGGGTTTCTAAGGAGCAGCTGGTGAATTTGAACTGCAGACCTTGCGGTTCAAACCAACCTTGCGGTCCAGTGCATTATCCCACAAGCACCACAGATAGGTGAGGCTAAATTGGGGGTCAAGGAGCACTTAGTTTAATTATTCTGCTTCCCCAAATCAGAAGAAACCATTAGATCCGGTCTGACAGATTCAGGCCCCGAGGGAGGAAAGTGAATTTGTGAAGGGGTTGATGTAAACTAGCCTGGGGACGATCCTGAGTAATGTGGTGTGCATGTGTCTATGTGTGGTGTTTGCACTCTGCAGGGTCGTCCCCTTACACATGCCTGGAATGCAGCCAGCGTTTCCAGTTTGAGTTCCCTTATGTGGCGCATCTGCGCTTCCGCTGCCCCAAGAGACTGCATAGCTTGGATCTGAACTCCCAAGACGAACAAAGCGGCTGCGCAGGTACTAAAGACCATGGGGGCGGCGGCGGTGGCGGTGGCGGTGGTAAAGATCCCCAGCAGCAACAGGAGGCACCCTTGGGCCCCGGCCCTAAATTCTGCAAAGCCGGCCCCATCCACCACTACCCAGCACCCTCCCCAGAGAGCAGTAGTAACCCTCCAGCGGGTGGCGGCGGCAGCGGCACTGGCACTGCGAAGCCATCCACAGACTTCCACAACCTGGCTCGGGAACTGGAAAACGCCAGGGGAGGCAACAACTGCTCTCCAGCCCGGAATCTCAGCAGCGTCAGCAGCAGCCACCAGGAGGCGGAGTTGAGTCCCGACGGCAACGCCACCGGCGGCGGCAAAGGGAAGAGGAAGTTCCCAGAGGAGGCTGCAGAGGGCGGCGGTGTGGGGCTGGTGGGCGGCCGGGGCCGCTTCCCCGAGCGGCCCCCGCTTGTCTCCAAGGAGGACCTGGTGTGCACGCCGCAGCAGTACCGCGCCTCCGGCAGCTACTTTGGTCTGGAAGAGAACGGCCGCCTGTTCGCGCCGCCCAGCCCCGAGACGGGCGAGGCCAAGCGCAGCGCCTTCGTGGAGGTGAAGAAGACGGCCCGCGCGACGGGCCTGCAAGAGGAGGCGTCCGCCGATGGCGGGGGCGCTACAGTGGAGGATCAGGACGTGGGCGGCGGCTCGTCCACGCCCGGGGCCATGTCTCCGGTGGGCGCCGAGAAGCTACTTGCCCCGCGGCCCGGGGGTCCGTTGCCCAGCCGGCTGGAGGGCGGCAGCCCGGGGCGGGGCAGCGCCTTCACCTCGTTGCCGCAGCTGGGCGGAGGGGGCTGCAACGGCGCGGGTGGTGGCGCGGGCGGCGGGGCCCCGGGCAATGGACAGGGCGCCGCTTCGGACGAGCGCAAAAGCGCCTTCTCGCAGCCTGCGCGCTCCTTCTCGCAACTATCGCCGCTAGTGTTGGGCCAGAAGCTGGGCGCGCTCGAGCCGTGCCATCCCGGCGACGGCGTGGGGCCCACCCGACTCTACCCCGCCACCGCCGACCCTCTTGCCGTGAAACTGCAAGGGGCCGCGGACCTGAACGGGGGCTGCGGGGCCCTGCCGAGTGGCGGAGGCGGCCTGCCCAAGCAGAGCCCGTTCCTCTACGCCACCGCCTTCTGGCCCAAGAGCTCGGCGGCGGCCGCGGGGCCCCTGCAACTCCAGCTGCCCTCGGCCCTCACGCTGCTACCGCCCTCTTTCACCTCCTTGTGTTTGCCCGCGCAGAACTGGTGCGCCAAGTGCAACGCCTCCTTCCGCATGACCTCCGACCTAGTGTACCACATGAGGTCGCACCACAAAAAGGAGTACGCCATGGAGCCCCTGGTGAAACGACGGCGGGAAGAGAAACTCAAGTGTCCCATTTGCAACGAGTCCTTCAGGGAGCGTCACCACCTCTCCAGGCACATGACCTCGCATAACTGACACGGAAAGAACCCAGGCTTTCCAGGAGCGCACACGCACAGTCAAGCCACCTGCGGGAACGAACACAGGAGGACATACATCCACCATCAACTTGAGCCCTACAGTACAGCAGCACCCAGACGCAAATACACGCATACAGCCTTCTTATCAAATATTTATCCAACACACACAAAGGAGACAAGATGGTGGGTTTTTGATTGGGTGGGTTGTTTGGGGGTTTTCTTTTGAATGCACGCATTTTCACTTTCCCAAAAGCAAAGGTACATTTAAAGAAATGTCATATATTGCAACATATTGATGCATTTGTCATACGTTTCTACTTAAATTATTAAGCACTTACAGTTTAGATGTAATAATTATATGTGAGGGCAAAATTTATTTTAGATATAAAGTAAAAGAGGAGGGTGAGATGCTCTCTGCATTTCTGGATGACTGTGTTCTTACAAAAATAAACAAAAGGAATAAAAAGGGGGTTGTGATTCGATTTAAGTTTCCAGGGGGAAGTGCATGTATCATGAAATGATTATGGATTTCAATGAAGAATGTCATCAGTTTGTAAATATGTTTTTCCTTTGAATACAAATTGTAATTTTGTGGCAGTGAAATGAAGTCTGAATAGTTATGTGTTTCTTTTTTTTTTTTTTTTTCCTGGAAAGATTTATTAAACTTTATAGCTTCTCCGGGTATGTTGGATGCTTTGACAATAAATGACTATTTTCTTCAAAGCAATTATTTATAAATTGTTTTTTAATATTTTTTGGGGACTGGCTGCACTAGGAGCCCTGGTGGTACTGTAGCATTACACTGGACTGCTAACCACCAAGTTGGCTGTCTTGGCTGGATGGCAGTTGGTTCTTGGAAGGGTTGTTCTAACTGCATTTATTTACTCTAAGCAAATTTTAAGTCTACAAATGGGGAGACAATATTTGCTTATCATTTGGAAAATATTTAGCTGGAAAATGTTAGGTTTCTTGATCAAAGGACTAAGCATTTTAGACAAAGATGCTTGCCATGGAGCTAGCTTATCATTGGGGTGCCAACATACTTTTCAATACTGGAGTAATTAGCATCTTCACAAACAGCCAGAGACAATTTTCAAGTCTAAACCAGAGAGATCATATGAAAATTGTTAAGCGCTGTCGAGCAGGTTTCAACGTATAACTACCCTCTATAGGGTTTCCAAGGAGCAGGCGGTGAGTTTGAACCATTGAACTTGCAGTTCAAACCCACCTGTATCACCACACCAGGACTCCTGAGGTTCTACTAGCAATGCTTACATGGAAAAGTGTCTCCTAGTTCAAGACCTTTCAGTAGTCTGTGATTCATTAAGAGATCCTTTGGAGAGGTTTTTTTGTTTTGTTTTGTAGAAACCATGGCAAAATGACAATGGGTTATATGATAGTCATTTTGTAGGGCCTAGTTTTTCTTCCAAAGGCTTCCAAAACAGCACAGCCTCTGCAGCAAAACTAGTCTTGAAACATTATAACACAAAAGAACTTTGCAAATAACTTTCTTGACTCCTCATCTGTTTTAGTGTCATGGACTAAGTCAGATGGGCCTTGTATAGGGTTTCCAAAGACTGTCTGGTGGATTTGGACTGCCGACCTTGAGGTAGCACTCCAGTGCTTATCTTACAAAACCACACCAGTACTCTCTACTCTAGCCCATATGAAAAGTCCCTCTGTACTCTTCATATACTGACAATTCCTAGTTCAATGAAGCGTATGTATGTGATCTGTGATCTGTCTAGCAACCAGTAGCCATAAAAGGAATGATGATCTTAGAGTGGTGGGGGTGTGCTGTGGAGTCAGTTCCGACTCATAGCGACCCTGTATAAGGTTTCTGGGGTGTGGTTGGTTGGTTTGATCTGCCAGCCTTAGGTTAGCAGTCCAGTGTTTATCCTACAGTGCCACATTAGGACATTTATTATAGGAGCTCTTTTTCTGATTTCTTCCTTCACATCCTGCCTTCCCTTCCCTATTTTAGAAGGAGGACACCTTTTAAAAAAGACCTCAAATGAAAACTTGAGCAAGGTATGACTTTCTCCTAAAAGGCTTTGGAAATCTTCATTGTATTAAAGTGACTACAGAGCAAATTATGATTATGGAAGTGGGCCGGGGGGAGGATGAAATATGATATATCCATAAGAGTATGACTGAAATGTTAAGAAAACAGATTTGCTCTCTTAAGACCACCTAGAAGCTGTCATTTTGGTACATTTCTTTGAGACCTACTCTCAGTTTTTCTCTGCAACATTTAAATTATATGTAAACTCATCCCCGGTACTGTATAATGAAAGGAAAGGTCCAAAATTCTAGTTCTAACTCTGGTATTCATGACTAGTAGACTAATGGAACCCTATGTTACTAATTATTATTTGACTTCCATGCATTTTGGTTTTCTTTGGTAAGTGCCTTCAAGTTGGTTCAGATTCACAGTGACCCCTCTGAGGAGCAGCTGGTGGGTTTGAACTGCCAACCTTGTGGTTCAAATTGACCTTGAGGTCCATAGCTTTATCCTACAGTGCCACACCAGACTACATCAATTAATTGGCTCTAATTAAATGCCAGGTCAGCAGTTCGAAACTACCAGAAAGATGAGGCTTTCTGCTCCTGTAAAGATTTACAGCCTAGGAAACCCTGTTCAGGGTCACTATGGGTCGGAACCGACTCGAAGGCACTTAACAACAATAGCAATTAAATGCTAAAGAGTCCTGGAGTGGTGCTGTGGATTAATGCGCCAGACTACAAAGCCGTTTGAATCGCAAGGTCAGCAGTTCAAGCCACCAGCTTCTCCTCGGAAACCCTATGCAGGGTTGTTATGGGTCGGAATAGACTCAACAGCACTCAACAACAACAATTAAATGCTAAGAGGTTGACCTAAAGAAAAGAGAAAGGTTTGTTGTTAAGAGAATTCCATAGGAAGAAGTGAGAAAAACATTTAAGGACAAATAGAAGGTAGGTCTCAAAGGATCCTAAGCTCATAATACTTGAGAGGTAGACTAAATCATACATACCAGGAACACTAGTGAGTGAATCTCTAATGCAAAATCTCTAGGGCAAAACCAACAACAAAAACAAAGAGCCAAGGTTGTTCTGAAGCCTAACTTTCAATGAAACGTGAATGACCTTTCCCTCTTTCCTAATCCTTCCAATAACTGTATTACTTGTTGGGGATTCAGAGAATGAGGAATTACAAAAAGGTAAGCAAATACTGTTTGTTGAGAAAGACTTCCTCATAGTTTGGAATCAGATTTTCTGAACGATACATGTAGACACTTGTTCAACCTCCCTGTTTTCTTTTGGATGGTCATTAACTTAATCACAACCAGAAAGAAGACCTACCATTGGCTAAGCTACTGCCTAGGCAATCCAGGCAGGTGGGATCATGGCAAGGGATTTAAGATTTTTAACCATTCAGATCAATCTGCCTGCAAGATCCTTTTGTCTGGCAGTAGTAGGGAAAGGGTGCCTAAAACTAGTTTTGCCTACAGTCAAAGCAAACCTAGAAACATATTTTAATGATTCATTTTCAAGCTTTTAGATGTATTCAAACTTGCTCCTATAGCTGCAACTTTTCAGACTGTAATTTCCAGAATTCCACAACCCAGCCCATCTGTTGGTCTAGTTTAAAAACAAAACAAAATCTACTGTAGTCAAGATTCCAATTTATAGAGGCCCTATAGGATTTTGAAACTACCAGCAGTTCTGCTGGAGAAAGATGAGGCATTCTGCTCCTGTAAAGATTTACAGCCTCCGAAACCCTGTTCAGGGTCGCTATGGGTCCGAACCGACTGGACGGCACTTAACAACAACAACATAGGATTTCCCAGGCAAATCTTTAAAGAAGGAAGCTGCCTCATCTTTCCTCCACAGAACACCTACTAGGTTCAAATCCTTCACCTATCTATTAGTGCCCAAAGCTTACCTCACTGCACCACCAAGACACCTTTGTTTTTGTTAAGGACTCATAGTGATCCTCTGTAGGGTTTTCCAGGAGTGGCTAGTGGGTTTGCATCTGCAACTTCGCAGTTAGCAATCCTGTGCTCATCCTACAGCGCCACACCAGGACTCCTGGACTTTGTAAATGTCTGCAGACACCTGAGGGGGAAACCAGGTATGTGGGTCATGAATTTATAGAGTCAAGCTCGTACTCAGAAGTTCAAATAGGTGGTCAAAGCTGGAAGTACAAGACTGCAGTCCTGAAAGAATGAAGAAAAAGAGCTAACGGATTTGCAGCACCTATATTTGTTTCCTCTAAACCAATAGCAGAATGTCTGGGATTGACCCCGCACCTAGGTATTGTGATCTCAACACTTCTCCGAGCAGATTTAAAATTCTCCTTTGGTATCCCTGGACGATTGTGGATGGGGGTGATGCTCGCAGTGTTGCCCAAGCTATATTTCAAGAGTACAGTGTCTGCCCCCAGGCGTGCAGGGACCAGAGGGCAGGGGAAAGTACGTGTACACATTTCTGCAAAAGTTAAAAAGTGCTGGACAACGAGACCGAGACCGACCATCCGGGAAATGTTCCCAAGGTCCCGACCGCTCTGCGGTTCTCCAACGCCCGGAGTAAGGCGTGTTGAAGCAGCAGTCATGCACGCGCAAGCTACCAGGCGCACAGGTGTCTCTCTTGGTTTCTCGTCTCTCTTAGTTGATCGAACCCACCTCACATCCTCTAGACCCAGATGTTCAGTCAACGTTTGTCCTCTGTTAAGGTTTCCTCCCGCGACTGATCTCTTTTGGCAGCTCTGCCCAGGATACAAGACACCTAGTGAGTGGGGGAACCTTGAACCCCTGGGACCAGTCAAGTCTACCAAAGGTGTCTGGACTTGCCACCTGGATTCTGAGGGGGCCTGAACCTCTACAGCAGCCTCGCTGTGGTGAATCGAGTGATTCCCCGTTTCCCTTTCCATTCTTCAGTAAAAGGAGCCTTCTACGGACTTCTCTGCCCGCCGGGGAAAGGGAAAGGTGCGGAGAATCGCGCGCTTCCACTCTGAGA